ATTTCCCCGAAAATATTGCAGACAATTTTATCGGCTGTTTCACTATCCCACTGTTGGTGGGGTTTCTTCGTTTTGTTTTGGTTTGGTTTTGGTTTTGTTTGGTTTTTGTTTGTTTGTTTGTTTGTGTGGGTTTTTTGTTTGTTTTTTAAGTGCAAAATTCAGCATTTTTGTTTTGTTTTGCTTTTCCGGAAAAACTGTATAAATACCCCTTTGTCAGCCCAGAGGAATAATTTTTCTCTGTTGCAAGAAAGTGTCATTAACGCACTAACAAGAATTTGGGCAGCTGCTGCCTGACTTTTGCAACCTCTCTTCCAGGTTAGGGAATGCTTTGGAACGGCTTTAAACTGGATGAGAATAGGTTTGGATTAGATATTAAGAATTAATTTTTACTGTGAGGGTGGTGAGGCCCTGGCACAGGTTGCCCAGAGAAGTTGTGGATGCCTCATCCCTGGAAATGTCCAAGTCCAGGCTGGGTGGGGCTTGGAGCAACCTGGTCTGGTGGAAGGTGTCCCTGCCCATGGCAGGGAGTTGGAATGGCATGATCTTTAAGGTCCCTTCCAACACAAACGGTTCTGTGATTCTGTGAACTTTGTGCCCGTGTTCCAGGACAGTAAACCAAGGCCATACTGGAAATTGCTGCCGGATTCATCTGCCCTGACATTAATAGAGCATATGTAAGGCTGCATCCAGAGGGTGATGTACACACAGCTCCCAGCCACCACTTCCAAATTCCAGTCATGGAAATAGTTCTTGGGTGCAGGGTTGGACTGTGCAACTTGGATCCCAGCAGGAATCACACCCACTGCACCCCCATGCCACGTCCTAAGGAGATGATGCGTGTTGCACTGAACGTAGGCAAAAACGTGACTTGTCCTTTCCTTTCAAGTTTCCTTTAGGGAGAATAAAATAAAAAAAAAATAAAAAAGAAGACATTAGAAGAGGAGGATGAATCACGTCTTAGTCAGAGTTGGGGCTCGCCAGAGCAACTGCTGCTGGTGCTGGCATTTTGATGCTGGGGGGAGCGTGCCAGGAGAGGCTGGCTGGTGACCAGTACATTCTTCCAAAAGGGATGGGGAATTAAGTTCAGGATTCTTATCGTGGGATGCATCCAGAGCCTAATTCCATTGTTCAGGATGAGTTACTAGGTGAGTTTGAGGTTAGAGCAGTAGTGGAACAGAAGAGGGAATTGAAGGAGTTTGGCTCTGATGTTTTGGAGAAGTTTGCAGCCTGTAAACCCCGTAAGAGATGAGTATCCTGTTCTCACAGAAAGAGGTTTTTCCCCTTTTCTGCCAGACTTCCCCTCTTTGTACTGCCCTTCCCTTTCCCACCTCTCTGCACCTGCTGCCTTCATCCCTCAGACGCTCAAGGATATTTTTTCCCCCACCCACCACCAGGACTTTCAGATTTTGAGCCCTGCATTACATTTATACCTCTGTCCCTTTGCATTTATTAAATCCCTGCTGGTTCCTGAGACAGGGTAGGTGAGGCAGCACCTCCAGCCTGCGCTGGCTGGTTTATTCCACCCTTCACATGCTCCATCACACAGAGCAGCAGAGGATGTGGGACAGCATCCCTGGCTGTCCCGTGGCATCGTGTGCTTGCGGTGCCTCTCGGCGAGCTGACACACCTCTTACTGACAGCATTCCTCCCCCTCAGTGACTTGATTTCTGGAAAAATCGCTGAGCTAAGCACCCCCGCGGGCTCCTTTCACAGCAGCTGCGAGCAACACCTTATTTACCGGTCTGGGTGCTATTAATAGGGAGCGGGGATTTTGCATGGCACGACTTGAGAGGGGAAAAATAATCCTCTCAGAGCACCTAGTGAGCCATCCTGATCACCACCCTCTCCCCGGGGTGAAAGTGCCTTATAAATAGTAATGCTGCTTCTTCCAGCTGACCTCCCTCGGAGCAGCTGGGTGCTCGTGCCCCTGAAATCCAGGCCATTTATTTAGGAGTTGAAGCTTTCCGCTCCAGTTATTCAGGAGTTTTTAAGCCAAGAGTTACTAGGTGGAGCTAATTTGAAGTGACTGTGATTTTAATTCGGGTAGGGTTTCGCTTTCGGGCTCCTTTTGATATTGTGGGGGTGGTGATTTGTGAAGGCAGAGAGAGGAGAGTGAGCTGCTGGAGGAAGGGGGATGATGCCCAAATTCCTTGTCCTGTAACATCATGTGAATATTTGTCCTACTTCTGACTCATGTTTTAGCTGGGAACCGAGCTTCTGTTGCCCTCCATGTGAAAAGGATTTGGGGATTTTGGAAAAAATAAAAAACCCTCCTGGCCTTTCCCAAGGATGGATTTTGTGCACAGTGGTCCAGGGAGCACTGTTGTTCCCGATCCCCATCTCACATTTGCCAGCTGGAGCACTCACTGCTCTCTCCTATCTTCCTTCCCACATCCCAAATCTGGTTCTTTTCCAGCTCCCTCATAGTAGCTATTTTAAAATTCTTTTTAATTTTTCTTTTTCGTTGTTGCCTGTGAATATTTTTTCCCTGCGTAGGAGAGGGAAGGATTGTGCACTTTTACTCCCATCTACCTTGGTTCCATGTAAGGAATTGGCCAAAAATACCTTCTTTCTAGATGTGTTAACAAATACAAACCTTTGCATCCAGAGAAGGAAAATGCCCTATATAATAAAAGAGGAGGTTTGATGCTTTAAGTATCTGAGATGCTCCTTATTGGGCTTTAAATTTTCAAACAAAATTTGCTTCATTAAACCCCATCAAAGCAGATGCTCCCACCTCTGCAGCTCTTCCCACCTATCACATATTCCTACTTCTCCCTGCTGTGGCACATTCCCACCCAGCATCCTGCCAGAAGGACCCCTCTGTGCCAGGTGGGACAATCCCCATAGCTAAGGCAGCGCTGGGGGGCAAAAAGAGGGTGTTGAGCATCTTTAGGACTTCAGTGTCACCATAGGAATTTTCTGGGTGGCTCCTGGATGATGTCCTAACCCTCCTGTGCTGCAAACACAGGCTGTGTTGGGGTGTGAGTATTGCTGGGGTGCTGCTTGCAGCCTAATTGAAGGTGGAAATGCAATTTGCAGGAACATGGTGAGCAGATTAAGGAATTGAATAAACTAATAGAAGAACCAAAATTTTAAATAATAATAATAATAATAACATATTTCTCATGGGTGAATATACATGACAGATAGACAAATAATAGGATGGGGATATTAAAATATTAATAAATTATTAATAAAATAACAAGTAATAAATACCAGCCAGATTAATAAATTAAAAATAATAATAAGAAAAATAAGTCATAAATTAATACTAAGCACCCGTTTGAGAGCAAAGGTTCCCCCGCGGAGCATCCCCAGCGCTCCTGCCGCTTCAGCCCCTTGCGGGGAGGGACGGAGGGATGCGGGGGGGGTGGACCAGGCGCCTCCCGGGCGCGGATCCGGGCGCGGAGCGGGGCGGAGCAGCCGCGGTGGCCGCGGGCGGAGGCGGAGCCGCCGCATCCCGGGCATCCCCTCCGGGGGAGGCGGCTCAGGCACCGCATGTGCGACGTGAGGGACGTGCAGGAGCGCAGACACCGGCATCCCCCGGCCCCCTGGCATCCCCTGAGGCCCCCCGGCATCCCCCGAGGCCCCTCCGAGCCCCCCCGGGTTCCCCTGGCCCGAAGGCTCTGAGCGCGGAGTGGGGGGCGCGCCAGCGGAGCCCCCCGTCCCACTGCTGTGTACTTGGAGTTCATTGATTTTTTTATTACTTTATTATTTTATTTAAAAGTTATTTTAATTTTTGTTTCTAAATTTATTTTTATTTTGTTTCTCTAGTTTTGATTTCTTTTTTAAAAAGTTAATTTTATTTTTATTTTATTAACATTTTAATTTTTTTAGTTTATTTTTTTCCTTTTTAAAATATTTTATTCCATTTTTATTTTCTATATTTTTATATTATTTTTTTCTTACTCCATTGTTATTTTCTGCATTTTATTTTATTTATTTTATTTTATTTTATTTTCCTCATATTTTTCCCTGTTATTTCTTTTTCGTCCACTTAATTAATCTTTACTTCATTTTATCTTCCCCTTTTTATTTCCTCGCTTTACTTCCTCTTAATTTTTCTAAATAATTTTTTAATTTCATTTTAATGTCCCCCTTTTACTTTTCATCCCCCTGTTCGCTATTTTTATGATTCAACGATCATTACTGTTTTTATTATTTTTATCGCTTTCACCTCATTAATTTCTAACACGCGAGAAGCGAGACGGGGGAGTCTTTTAACCGCGCAGTTTTTTTAGCTCGGGGGAGCCCTCACACAGCCTGTAACACCCCAATAATCCCCCCTCCCCCGGGGGTCTCAGCCGTGGGGTTTGGGTGGTCGCGTCCCCGCGCGGAACAAAGCGGGTCCTTTGTCCGCGCTGCAGTTCCGCGGGCGGCCCGCGGGGGGCAGCACTGCCCGTGCCGCGCCGCATCCCCCCCTCCCTCCCTCCATCCCCACCCCTCCATCCTCCCCCTCCTCCTCCTCCTCTCCACCCTCTTCCTCCTCCTCCTTCCCCGCCTCCTCCGCCGCGCCGCAGCGCCCGCCCGGCCCCTCCCTGCCCTCCCCGCCCCGCGGGGCGGGCGCCGCCGGGCCCGGCCTGCCGGGATAGAAATAGGCGGCACCGCGGCTGCCGGCACATCGCGAGCGGAGCCGGGCAGGGCAGCACGGCACGGCACAGCACAGCACGGCAGCCGAGACCGCAGCAGCGCCACGAGCAGACCTTCCCCACTCCTTTTCTCCAGGTGCCTCGCGTGGAGGTTTTTCCTGCCTTTTTTTTTCCCTATTTTTTTTTTTTTTTAAATATATTTTTCTTTCCGTCGCAGTCCGCGGCAGGGCTCGCCCTCGCTCCCTCCCAGCGCGCAGCGGCAGCGGTGGTGCCGCTCCTGCCCGGCTTTGTGCCCTGAAGCCCCGTCCCTCCTCTTCCTTCTCCTCCTCCCCCCTCCTGCCGTAAAATCCTCACGAGGCTCCGAGCAGCAGCATCCGAAAGCGCCGCAGCCGCTCGCTGAAACCACCGACTGCAGCAAAAACCCTTTTTATTTTTTATTACATATTTCCGCCCCCTCCTTCCTCTTTTTTTTTTTTTTTTTTCTCCTCTTCCCCCGCAAACGCTTCAAGGTGGACGCGGAGCGCAAAAAGACCTTTGTTTTAAAAATGCCCATGGAGCTGACACAAAGCCGCATCCAGAAGATTTGGCTTCCCAATGACAACCGCCCGGCGCTGCCCCGCCGATGTGAGTACGGGCACGGCAGCATCCCCGCGGGATGGGACGGGATGGGATGGGATGGAGGGGTGGGAGGGAAGCAGCCGCCGTCCTCTGCGTTCCCCGAGGGGTTTCTTTGCAGCGCCCTCCTCCCTCAGCATCCATGCAGCATCCCGCCTCCCCCCTCCTCTGCCTGCTCCAGCATCATCCCCGTGCCCGCATCCCACCCGCTGCCATCCCGTGACTCACTTCCAGCCCTTGGGAGCTGGAGGAAGGTGCAGCCGTCACATGGCCCCGCGCAGCGGAGGATGCGGGGAGGTGCGGAGACACGCGTGGCCCAATTTCCACTCCCTCCTCCCCGCTCCCCCTCCTCGGCTTCCAGCCCTGGGATTAAAAGGAAAGGGAGCAGGTTGTTCACCTCGGCGCCCGGCCACCGGCTCAGCAGGGATTTTCAGGGTGTCAAGCACTTCGCTCTGAGATTAATCAGAGTCATGAATGGTTTGGATTGGAAGGGACCTTAAAGCCCATCGTGTTGCCACCCCACTGCCATGTGCAGGGACACGTTCCACTATCCCAGGTTGCTCCAAGCCCCATCCACTTAGTGCATTAGAAATCTTTAATTTTTTTGGAGGTGGAGGCAGGATTAGGGAAATGGATTTAGGGGAAAAAAACCCAGCAGTTTGCACTTTATCATTTCACCCTGTGGGATGAGATAAGAGACAGGTGGAGATAAGAGGCAGAAATTAATGCTGAAACTTCTGCAGTGGTTTCCCCTGCTCTTTGAAGCTCAGAAGGATCCTTGAGGGGTTAAAACCAACCTCTCTGCTTAATATATATATATAAATAACATGAAATAAAAATGCTTTGGTCATCCCGGTGTTACTATAAACCAAATCATGAATCATAATGCAATCTGAAAGCTCAGGAGGCAGCTCCTTTAACTCACCCAGCAGCTAAACTGACAACCTGCCAGTTGTGCAACTCCGTGTAACTCTAAATGAGCGTCGCAGGAATCCGCAGAGCTGGGATGGAGGGGGTGGCACTGGATGAAGGATGGAAGTGGCTTGGGCAGTTGAGTGAATCAGTCTTTCCGATGCTTTTGTTCATCAGGCATTTAAAGTCCCTTCTGATGTTTATTTCCCTTGGCTGGAAAGTTTCTCCTTAAAAAAAAAAAATAATAATAATTTTAGGAAAAGCAGATATCCTATGAATTTGCCAGCTGTTGTTGCCCGGGGCTGTGGGTCAGGCTCCCTGGAGCAGATGTTGGGACGCGCTGCCTGAGCCTGGCAAGGGCAGCTCTGCAGCAGGAGCTGCTGAGGAAATGGGATTTCAGCAACAGGCTGAACATCTGGGTTGCCAAGGGGCTTTGCTCTGAGTGGGGTAGAATGGCTTAATTCTTTGCACGTGTGCCTGTATGGCTTGACTTCTCTCAAGGGCTGACACCTCTGAAAGAAATGCCTTGTGCACGCAGAGCCTCCCAGTGGTTTTTGCCACTTGGTTTCTCAGAGGAGAGAATTCCCTCCCGGTGGAGGAGAAAACTAACACATTTAGTATATTAAGGCACCAAGGGGCTTATTAATAACGTAATGTCTTCTAATTATTTTTTTCTCGGGGTGGGAACAAGCCACGCTGGGCACTGTTCACTGTGCAATATGGGAAGAGGGTTATTAGGGTTTTTTTTAGGTTTTTGTTTGTTTGTTTGTTTTTGTGGTTTTTTTTAACAGCGTGGCTGTTTTAAATTCAGGTGCTATTAACTCCTCAGCAGTAACAAAGAGCGGAGCCACAAAGCTGGGTGGGAAGGGAGGTGTAACGGAGACCGCGGCCAGCGTGGTCCCCGGAGGGAGCGGGAGCATCCCCGGGAGCATCCTCTGGAAGCTGCTCCCCTGCGCGCGAAATAATTAGTCCGATTGTCGCTTCCTCGTCAGTGGGAGGCTGGAGTGGCTCGGAAGCGGTGCCTTCATCTGGCCTTTTTGACGGCGATCCATTAAATTGCTGTCAAGCTGCACGTCTCTCACGTAGGGGCTGGGAAAGTCGAGCCGTCGCAGGCGCCGGGTGGGCAGAGCCGGGCGAGGGGAGGGGAGGGGGCTCGCAAGGGGGATGCTCCAGGAGGGAGGGAAGGGGCTTGCCGCTGCCTTTCCGTGTCCCGTCACTCTGCCATCGCTCCCGCTCGGGGGGCTGTGCCTGTAAGAGCCCGGCTGGCGCGTTTTTCCAGGGCGGCAGCGGGTTCCACGTGTGCGTGCGATGCGGAGCGCGGAAACATTCACGCGTGAAGGTGTCGGGGAACTGCAGTGAGAAAGGAGCTGGAAAAGGGGAATGTAGGACTAACGTAGAACATGTGATGTGGGGGAACGCTTGTACAAGGAGACAGTAGAAGTGCCTGAAGTGGGGAGGTGGCTGCTTTATCCGACTTGTTATAGAAGCAAATTTCCTTCCCTCTTGTTGTTTGTATTGTTTTGTTGCGTTTCTTGGTTTTTTTTTTTTTTCTTCCTTCCCTCCCCCGTTCTGGTAAAGCACATGGGCTCATCAGTGCTGACTTTCTGGCAGATGTAAGCCACAAGTGATGAGCACCTTCTAAATATCCTGATTAAGCCTGAAAGTCATCCCTGACCTTGACTTACCTGGCTAGATATGGATAAGCAGTAATGAATATCCATTGAAATCCCCGATAGCTTCCCAGCAGTGGTGAAAAGAAATGATGAACGAGGTCTTTGTGAAACACTGAGCAAAACACTGGTTTCTGTTTCATCCCTGATGCAAAGTTTCCCTGGAGACTTTTGTGATTTAGCTGGGTTTGGGCTCAGATTCCTGACAAAAAGTTCCTTGATGGATAACCTGGTGTTTTGGGAGGTGCTCCCGGGTCTGTAAACAGATGCATTGTCATGGTCCAAGAGGAACCTGGATCTTTCATTTGGCAGAAAAAGAAATTGTGGGGAGATTCCTCAATTACAGGTGTTTAACTCCTGCAGCACCCTTTGGAGGTGGCAGCTCTGGGACTGTCACAGCTGTCTGGAGCACAAAGACACATGAACAGTACCCAGTATTGTCCCCATCCTCTTGAAGTGCTATTTAATGGCTTCAAATACTCTTGGCTCTTTGAGATCCTTTATCCACTCTTAAAGGAAAGGTTTATTTGTTTGGGTATTATTCCTTCCTCCTCACTTTATCTAATAAGTGTGTGAGGTTTGTTGCAAAACTAGACTTGGCACCCATAGGTTGCGAGAGGAAGTGAAACTGCTAGAGGGGAAACCAATATTTTTCTGGGTGCACTGCTCAGCTCCCTTGGTGCCCAAGTGTGGAAAACTGGCACTGGCTTCCAAAATCAATGGGAGCTGCCCCGAGCAGCACTGGGGAGGCAGGTTGCATAAAGGGAGTGAGTGTGAGGGCAGCGCCAGCCTGAGGAATGTGGAATATTTATGAAAAGAAGAAAAAGAGAAAATATATTTTAGGTAGTTTTTCATGTCTTGCCTGCTGAGTCTGCTTTGGTGAGACAACGAGGAAGATGGTGGGTGGCTCTTCTCTGGTCTGGGTACCAGTGCTGTAACTCTTCCTTGTGGTCTTAATTTGGTTTCTTCAGCTGTTGGATTTATCTTTTCCTAGAAGGGGAAGGGAATCCCATGTACACTGCAGGTTTATATGGATACCTCTCAGTTTGTTTTGCCCTTTCCAGATCTGCTCTGAGTCTCCATCCTCAGGTCCCACCTGCAGGCAGCTGGGACAGGCAGGCAGAGCTCTCCACCCAGACCATAATTGAGCTGGGGTTTATGGCTCTGCCACCAGCCACTCACTCCCTGCATTCCTTTCCCATGAGGTCTCTGGGCTCACCAGGTGAATGGAAGGGTGGGAGAGAAATCCCCTGCAGAGTCTTGCCTGTCCTGCTGGTGCTGGGAGGGCTCTTGGGGTGTCACACAGGGTGGCATGAAAGGCAGCTGGCTAATCTAAATTCCATTAGGCATTGTTAAGATCTGCCTCTCCTGGCTTTGTGCCCTGGCCTTCCCTGTGTGCAGCTCCATGTGAGGAGCAATTCTGCAGGGATGCAGCCACGGGAGAGGGATGCTGCCTCATTACATGCTCCATGGAATGTGTGGTCCAGGTGCATCCCCTGACACTGGGGCTACAAAGTACTAAAAAAATTCCCAAACTGCATTCCCAGTCCTGTAACCTCAGCAACTTCCTCTGAACTGAACCAGGAATTTGCTTTCAAAAGGATTTATGGGGGGAGAAAGTGATTCACCTGGGCAGCCTGGCAGCTGATTTGTCTGCATTTTGGTCATGCCATTCAAGTGACTTGGACAGGAATTTCTCTTCACTTGCCAAGTCATCTCTAAGTGCTGCCTCTGGATTTTATTTCCAGCTGTTTGACATGCATCCTCTTTACCACAAAAAAAACCCCCAAACCAACAACCCAGCTTAAAATAGGTTTATGAGGAAAAGGGGATAAATTACTTGGATAACTGCTTTTAAATGCTGATGGTTCTGTGGTCCTCATGCCCTGTTTGTCTTCAGAAAAACAGTTGCATTTGCATGTGTATCAGCTAAAAATCTAGTCAAATAGTTTTCGGAAGGTGCTCTCTGGGTGAATATCTCTGTGCAGACCCGGTATTTCAGTGTCTGAATTGTGTTGCTGCAGGACCTGGACCAAAGTATTTGGTCACCCTCCAGCTTTTCATAGAATTGGCCAATCCACAGGAATGGGAGGTTATTTTTGCCTTGAATTTTTTTTAATTTTTATTTTTTTTTTTGTTGTTGTTGTAAGTGAAGAAACTGAGGCATGGAGACTCTCCAGGGAACCTGGGCCAGCTGCTGGTTCCTTGCCTACTTTGCAGCCATCAGGATGTTCTTATCAAGGTTTTCAGGCTGTGACTGTTGTCCCCTGGTTTGGGTGACCCCAGGGTGAATTTGGGTCAGCATGGCTTAGCTGGGGCAGCTGTGTCTCACCAGTGGGAAGCCATGGAGCCATCCACCATGCCCCCCTGCTCAGGGTCCTGGCTGTCCAAACTCACGAGAGGGATGTACAAGAGATATTACAGAGGTGATGGTGCACAAAGAACACAGGTTTTGGATTTTCTCCAGCTGCTGAAGGATCTGGGGGAAGGCTGAGTGAAGAGCAAGTGCCTTACAGGGTTGATACAAGATGAGCTAAGTATTCACAGCTGCTCATGTTCTTTCTCCTCGTAGCCTGTGGGCCACAGCTTGCCAATTCCCCCACTGTGATAGTGATGGTGGGCCTCCCAGCCCGTGGGAAGACCTACATCTCCAAGAAGCTGACCCGCTACCTCAACTGGATTGGTGTCCCTACAAAAGGTGAGGCATTCACTGGCTTCCAGGGGAAAGCATGAGGTCTGGTCCTCAGCAGTTGCCATAGGAGTGGGTGCCTTGGGGAGTGGGAGGTAGTGGAAGAGCTTTCTAAGATCCAGTGGGCCAAATATCCACGTTTTCCCATCATTTCTGCTGCAGTCTGGGTTCTCCTTCACTTCAAGACCAAGGGATGTCCCTGAGCCTTTTGCTCTAAGGATATAATTTCGTAGCACTTTGCTTGCTTTAATTGCAGAAATTGTAGAGCTGAGCTGAGCTCCTGGTTTTGATGGGTTTTGTCTCTCCCAAATAGTTTTCAACGTGGGGGAATATCGCCGTGAGGCCGTGAAGCATTACAGCTCCTACGACTTCTTCCGTCCTGACAACGAGGAGGCCATGAAAGTCAGGAAGTAAGTGTGGGCACTGCCTCCATCCTACCAGTCAGGTCCCGAATGGGTGGTGAAGGCCATGGCTGGAGCCCAGTTACCCAGTTTGTTCGGGGGTGACGAGCAGAAAAGCTGGGCTCTGCTTCTGAGTTCTCCCTGCCTGCTCCAAAGAGGCCTGACTTGGGTGCCAAGAGCTCCAAACTGAAGTTGTGTGGGCATGGTAGCTTCAGGGGTCGCCAACACGTCCAGAAGACATCAGGGCCACACATGTCCTCTTTTGCAGGCAGTGTGCCATGGCTGCCTTGAGGGATGTCAAGCTGTACCTGACGGAGGAGGCTGGACAGATCGCGGTAAGAAAGGAGACGCTCTCCGTGAGATTTTGGCATGTCCCACTCCTGAATGCCCTGTGCAGTTTGCTCTGCAGTTCCTTCTCTGAGGAGGGCCTCAGTAGGAAACCAGGCTCTTGTGGTGCTAACTGAAATCTTTGCTTTTAAAGGTTTTTGATGCCACCAATACCACGCGGGAGAGGAGAGGGATGATCCTAAACTTTGCCAAAGAAAATGGATTTAAGGTTGGTACTGTGGGGCTGGTGCCTGAATTGCATAGTCCACTTTACTGTACTGTTGGTGTATCTTCCTTCACTAACATGTTGTCCTCATAATGCTCCTGTGTAAGGGACATTTCACTTCTAGGCTTGATGAGAAATGTGAAACTTTTCCCTCATTCCTCATAACAAGTCCCAGAGAAGGAAACTATGGGAGTAGGGCAGAGCAGGGAGGAGGTTGGGTTGGGCAAGGAGCTGGTTGAGTGTTAAAAGCCTTGTTGCTGGCTTTCAGTTGAGGTTTGCTTTGCTTCACAGGTGTTCTTCATTGAATCTGTCTGCAACGACCCCACTGTGGTTGCCACCAATGTTATGGTAAGTGTGGAAGTGTCTTGCTTTTGTTTTCCCTCCACAGGCAGGTGGGAATGGCATCACATTCATAAGCCCATGTCCTCATGGCTCACTGCAACCACCCTGGTATCTGTTGGAAGGACAACACAGCATGGCACAGGCAATCCAGGAGGTTCCTGGAGTGTGTTGGTGATGATTTCCTTCTCCAAGAGAGAGGAGCCAACAAGGAGAATGTGCTGTGTTGCACTGTGCTGCAGTGACCATGAAATGAGACCTCAGGAGAGCAGACTTTGGCCTCCTCAGGAGTATGCTTGGTGGAGTACCATGGGATAAAGATCTGGAGGGAAGAGGGGCCCAAGAAAACTGGACAGGGTTGTCAGGGGCAACAAGAAAAGCTTCTATAGGTACATTTGATGATAAAAGGAAGACTAGGAAAGTGTGGGGCCTCTCTAGAAGGAGTAGGAGGCCTGGATACTGGGGATATGGAGAAGGCTGTGGCACTCAGTGGCTTTTTGCCCTGGTTTTCACCACCAAGTGCTCCAACCCACTGATGGAGTTGTAGGAGGCAAAGGCAAGGACTGGGAGAATGAAGAGTCACTTACAGCAGAAGATCAGGTTTGAAACAATCTAATTAACCTGAAGGTCTACAAGTCCTTGGGATCTGATGTGATGCATCTGTGGGTCCTGAGGGAACTGGTGGATGAAGCGGGGAAGCTGCTATCCATCATATTTGAGAAGTCATGGCCATCCAGTGAGATTCCCCCTGACTGGAAAAGGGGGAACATAACCCTTGTTAAAAAAGGAAAAAAAATGAGTCTTGGGGAGGTTGCACATAGCCTTTTTCATGATGCTAATAAAATGCTCAGTTTGCTGCATGTCTTTTTTTTTTTCTTTTTAAGCTGGATTTTTATTTTTTTGGAGGATTTTAATCCCTTTATTTGGAAACTAATGCTTGAAGGGGGAGAAAATGAATGTGGGATTTTGCTCCACGGGGTGCTGCAGATGAATGGTGCTCATAGTGCCAGGATCAGTGTGGAAAATACACCACGGGCCCGGGATGCTGCCACATGTGTCACTCTGTTGTGTTATCCTGTTCGTTTCAGGATTGCCTGTGAAGTTACTAATGTGTAATGCTGCTGTTCAAACCCAAATCTTCAGGGGAAAATAGCCTGTTAGATTAGTTCAGGGGGAAAAATGGCCTGTAGTAGTATTTTTCAGCCCAGTAAATTGCAGCAAATAATGCACAGAAAGGGTTTGAATGTTGTTTTGCTAGTATCCTTTTGCTGACCTGGGATGCACATCTAGTCTAAGCTCATGCACTTTCCATTTTCAGCTTGAATTTAAACCTGATGGTTTTCTTTAACCACAAGGAAGCTCAGTTTTCCCCACTGTGTTGGATGGTGAGGTGCTACCCCAACTCCTGGGAGAGTGGGAGTGGACTGATGCACATCTATGCTAACCACGCAATGGTTTATACCAGATTATCTCACTTTATGCTTATTTTTGGGTCTAACTTGGTTCTTTTGTGCCCTGTGATACATGATGACTGTAAAGTGTCTTAGCTGCTTTTCTGGATGTTGGCAGGACTTTGAAATTTGAGATTAGCATTGCCTGACTGGGAGACCTTCCTGACCTCTCCTTGTGGCGTGTTTTTTTCACAGGAAGTCAAATTGTCCAGCCCAGATTACCGGGACTGTAACTCCACTGATGCCATGGAGGACTTCATGAAGAGGATCAATTGTTACCAAGCCAGTTACCAGCCACTCGACCCTGATGACTATGACAGGTAAGAGACTCTGCTGACTTCTGAGCTGACTTAAACAGCTTCCTGCTCCCAGGAGAGGAGCAATGAAGGATGGAGCTGTATTTTGTTTTGTTTTTAAATACCTGACTGTGCTAGAGTAATGTATGGCCAAGCCTCACCTGGAAACCAGGCTTTTTCCTTGAAAGTGCTGTTTTTCCCCAGCCCTGTGCTAGGGAGTTGGGCACTGAAACTTTCCCAAGCTCTTCTGGCCTCGGATATGCTGTTCTCAACCCTGTTCTGCAGGTCTAAAATACAAAGGGTTTGGAAAAGCACTTGGGTTTGAGCAGTTGAGGTGCTTTTGTCATTGTCCCACTTAAAGGAAAGGATTGGTTGGTTCAGGCCACAGGATTGAGCAAGCCCTGTGGCTTCTGCCTAGTTGTGTGCCCTGGGAAGACCTTTGCTGTCCTGTATGACTCCGCAGGCACCTCCCAGCCTTTTCACTGCTCACAAACACGTCTGTGTGCTCTGCACGGATTATTCCACTCCTGCTGATCCCTGTCCTGGGGAGGAGCATGTTCCCTGTTAGTCCTGTTTAATCCTCTTTGCTGCTGCAAGGAGGAATGGCGATTACACTGGTGCTGTTCAGCTCTCCATGAATCCCCGTTACCTGTTGGCTTCCTGTTGAAAATAGCCTGCAGGAAATCCTTTTAGCTGGGTGATTACGCTGAGGGAGATAAGTCACAAGGCTGGTTCATGAGAATGACGTTCCTTTCTTTCCTCAGGGAACTTTCTCTCATCAAAGTCATCGACGTTGGCCGGCGGTTCCTGGTCAACAGGGTTCAGGATCACATCCAGAGCAGGATTGTTTACTACCTGATGAACATCCATGTCCAGCCCCGCACCATTTATCTCTGTCGGCACGGAGAGAGCGAGTTCAACCTCCTGGGCAAGATTGGAGGGGACTCTGGCCTCTCCAACAGGGGCAAGAAGGTGAGGGAGGAAGGGCTGTGGCTTCTAGGAGGGATTTGGCTCCAGTAAGATGCCACGTGTTGGATGAAGTGTATATTTGATGATAGCTGGGTTGCTCAGGGTACATCTATAGGGCTGGCTAAGTTTGGGCACGGCCTCAAAACAAGACTTCCCAGCCATCACTGTTGCTTGTGGTCTTGCACGTAGTTAGGGCTTAACAGAGATTGGGCTGCAGAAAGCAAATAAGCAGAGCTGTGGTTAAGGATGGCCAGGGATTTTCCATAGCACTGTGGGAAAGCCCAGGTCATGGTGCTGTTTCCTGGGTGCTGATGTTCCTTGAAGACAATAGGTTACCTCTTTCTCCTCTGCTTTCTCTCTCTTTTCACACCCCTTCTTGGGGATCATTGCTTGTGTGGCTTCTCATCACCTCGGAGCAGAAGACTAATCTGTCTGGCTCTGGAGGGCAAAAACAGTCCTGAAGAAGTCAACACTTACTGGGAAGCAGGGAAGAAGCCCCGTTGGGAAGCTATGGACCTGGAATCAACCTCTTTTTTTTCTTTTTTTTATGTCCCACAGTTTGCTCTGGCACTGAACAAATTTGTAGAAGAGCAGAACCTGAAGGACCTCAAAGTCTGGACCAGCCAACTGAAAAGGACAATCCAAACAGCAGAAGCTCTGCAGCTGCCCTACGAGCAGTGGAAGGCACTCAATGAAATCGATGCTGTGAGTATCTTTTGATTGCAGTAGGAATAGGTGGATCAGGCTGGCTGTTGCTTGATGAGAGAGAGCAACAGCACCTGACTTTTCACTTCTGCCTAAATCTCAGCTTCCATGGAGAGAGTTTCCTGCTGTGGGAAAGGGTGGTACCTCTGCAGGACTCGCCTTTTGGCCTCTGACTTTAGTTGTACCTTCTGCAGATTCTTCAAGATGTTGTCTTGAATTATAGAATGGTTTGGGTTGCAAGGGACCTGAAACACCATCTATTCCAACTCCCTGCCGTGGGGCAGGGACATCTTCCACTAGACCAGGTTGCTCCAAGCTCCATCCAGTGTGGTGGATTAAAATGATTTTTTTGCTTGGAACTGCTCTGTAGCTGAGCACTCACAGGGTTACAGACAATTGCTTTGGAGAAGGCTTTGCATGTTGGCTGTGCTGATGCTTTTTGACCTGAGTATGTCCAGTCACCATGGATGTCCTCTTCTGGCAGGGTGTGTGTGAAGAAATGACATATGAAGAAATCAGGGACCAACATCCAGAGGAATTCGCTTTACGTGACCAGGATAAATATTACTACCGTTACCCTTCAGGGGAGGTAGGTCTGCAGGGAGACCTTCAAAAACATGACTTTTGCTCTAAATGTGGCCTTTTTGTCTTCATTCTGTCCTCTGCACTCGAGCAGTGAGTGCTGCAAGAAACTAGAATAGAGAAAGGTCAGGGCTTATGTTCACCTCTACACTGAGCTGTTGTGAAATTGTGGTACATGAAGATATCACTCAGAAATCTATCACCTAACAAACAGTCCCACTGACTTTGTAGCAGATTAGTAGGAAAGGGACTCTGGAGGTTTCTAGTCCAACCTCCATCATTGTATCCACTCAAAGTGTTGTGCTGCCCCAATTTCCTTTTCTGTCATTTCCAAAAAAAGTAATTTTCACCCTGCTCTCAGTATCACTCCCTAAGGGTTGATGGTAATAGCTCTGTTCCTGGCAATCTGCTTTCAGAGTGTGACACAATGAGGTGGGAATTTACATCAGCTCTGGGTGATACTTTAGGCTGTGAATTGAGCTATTTATCCCCAAATTGAAAGTCATTTGGGAAAAAGAGACATAGACATTTGGGGAAAAAAATCTTTGGAAACACCATCATGACAGTATATCTAACAGGAATGTGTGGAGATGTCAGACACTGCCTCTGGGTGTCTGGAGCTCGTTCTGGCTGCCTGTCATGGTTCTTTATGAAGTCCTTCAAAACCCTGGGGTTTCTCAGGTTGCTCCAGACTTTTCATAACTTAGAAATCCTGTAGAAAAATCAAATTTCAAGATGATGGAGGGATGCTATCCTGAGAGCTCCTGTTGCTTACCTTAATAAACTCTCCAGGACTGAGATGTGATTCACTGAGATGGGAATGGCTTCTTCTCTGGAAGAAATATCTGTGTTTTAGATTATCCTGATGAAGATTTACTTGTTTTTAGGAGTAATTATGTTAGTCAGAGGCATGAAATCAGTAGATGTAACAAGACAAGGAGCATTGCTGCTTCTGAGGTGCTTGTTTCTTTGATTCTGTGCCTCATCTTCCTTCCCATCTTTTGTCCCAGTCCTACCAGGATCTGGTGCAGCGCCTGGAGCCAGTCATCATGGAGCTGGAGAGGCAAGAGAACGTCCTTGTGATCTGTCACCAGGCTGTCATGCGCTGTCTCCTGGCATACTTCCTGGACAAGAGTGCAGGTGAGCTCCCTGTCTGTGGGAAGAGGATGGACCCTGCTGGAGGAGGGATGATGGATGCAGCTCTGTGGAGGTGCATTCAGGTCGATGTGGGTCTAGAGCGTGCATCTATTAGGTGTGGGGTGGCCTTGGCTGTTGATAAAGATGCTTTTGGAGAGGGGGTGGGATAACCCTCCTGCTTTGCTGTCTCTGCAGATGAAATGCCCTACCTGAAATGTCCCCTTCACACGGTGTTGAAGCTGACCCCGGTAGCCTACGGTAAGTGGGACCTTCCTACTAAACGTGTGGGGGGGTTGGCTTGTACCTCCTCCTGAATCCAGGCTGCCTCTGGGAGCAACACCCTGTGCCTGCTGGGTTTGCTGATGGCCTCTCTGTCTCCTTGTGCTCCCCTCTGCAGGCTGCCGGGTGGAATCCATCTCGCTGAACATCGAAGCCGTCAACACCCACAGAGATCGGCCAGAGGTGAGTGTTGGCTTTTCCTTGGAGCCATCCCTTGGTGTTCCCCTCCTGTCCCCTATGGTCAGCTGGCAGTGGGAACACCTGGGGGTGGGCATGGGGAGGTGGCTCAGCTGGGTGCTTGGAAGTGCTGCTGGTGGAGTGTCAGATGGGTTCTTGCTCTGCAAAGTTGTGGCTGGTTCAGGGTTTTCCAAGGGAAAAGGAGCGTTGCATGTGCCTGCTTCCCAATGTGTTTGCCCAGACTAGAGCTGGCCCAGGGAGAGCTCCTCCCTGGTCTTTGACTTTTACCTGTACAGTCATCCATTCACTCAAGAAGGGAAATGGAGCCATGGGTGGAGAAGGTGACTTCTCTCAGGTCTCCTAGTTTTCTGGCAGAGCCTGGGCTCAATGCCCAAAATCTGATTTTGCAGGTTTTTTGTGTGGTTTTTTGTTTGGTTTTTTTTCTGGTATGCCCATGGCACTGTGGGGCTACCAGAGTGCTTTTCTGCAGGGTGGGATGTGGTGGTGCTGGGCTGGGGATGCTGTGGGGAGGACACCCCTCTTGTGAAAAAATTCCTGTAAGGGCTGGTGTATCTGCCATGTGCTCCACTGCGAGCTCAGAGGCCAGAGAAGGGGATACCAGCTTGGTGCTGGGTCTGGGTGCCCCAAGGATATTGTGCCCCTGTCCCAGATGCTGGGACCTTTCCACCTTGTGCTTAGTGGTGGTGGAGCCCAACTGGATGCTGGACAGACAGAGAACCATCCCCTTTTGGTCCACATCTCCTTTCCTTCACTTCCCAACCTCAGCAGGTGGCAGCATCTGGGCCACCTCTCCCTCCCCATGGCTGTAAGGGGGAAGCCAGTCCTTCCCCCTGCCATGGGGGCCATCAGTGCCCTCTTCCACCACCCTTGCTGGGGATGGCAGGAGTGGCAAGGGTAGGATGGAGCAAGACACATGCAAAGTGCTTGGGTGCCCCGCTCGGCTGCGTCGGTGCTGCCCCTCCATCCCTCCTGGCTTGAGCTGGAGTTTGGCGGTGCCAACCCTTGCTGGCTGCTCTGCTCCCACTTCCCAAACCTTCCTTATCGGCTTGGGCTGGCTTGTCTTCCCTCTTCTTGCTTTCACACCTCTCCCTGGGTGGAGGGACCGGCTTCGAGGAGGAGACCGATGGGCACCTCCCTCTGTCGTGCGAAGTCATGGCTTGATTGCTGCTCGGTGTTTTTGGCTATCTGTAGTTACTTTTTTGTGAGCAGAGGCTTAGGTGAGTGGAAGGTCTCTTGTGTCTGAGTGCAGGGCCCTTTTTTTTTTTTTTTTTTCCCCCTCCCATTCTGTGCTCTTGAACATTTTTGTATTAGGTTTTTTACTGTGTGTCCAGAGCCTTTCGTTTGCTCATTGACAGTGATTGTGGGGAAAAGCAGAGGCCACTTTAAGGAAAAAAAAAAAAAACCCAAAACAACCTGCTCCTTTTTTTTTTTCCTTTATAACTGTCACCTTCTTCCCTTTTTTTTTTTTTTAAATTTTACTTTATTTTTTTTTTATATTTACTTTTATTTTCTTTGTCTCACTTTAATTTAGGAAGCAAAGAAGGGACCTAACCCGCTCATGAGACGTAATAGCGTTACCCCTCTAGCAAGCCCAGAGCCCACCAAAAAACCTCGCATCAACAGCTTTGAGGAGCATGTGGCTGTTTCTTCCGCCCTGCCAGGCTGTGTTCCTCAGGAAGTGCCCACGCAGATGCCGGGACAAGTTAGTTGAACTCTCTTTTTTTTTCTTTCTTTTTTTCTTTTTTTTTTTTTCTTTTGTTGTTGTTCTCGTTGTTTTGTTTGTTGTCCTCCTGTCACTCCTGAAGCTGAGGAACTGCTTGCACTTGCCACAACCTGTGCTGCTGTCTCTGAGATGCATCTTCCTCCCACAGCTGCTGTCCCTCCCTGCCTTGGGCTGGTCTCGGGAGCGCCCGGCAAAGGGTCCCTGTTGATCCTCTCTTGGGTTTTGAAAGCATCAGGAACACCCCCCCAAAGTTCTGGGCTGTGTTAATTTAGTGCCTTTACTATCCAGCATCGTGGTGTCAGCCTCCCAGGGAGCTACATTTCTAGAGCGAGCAGGACCAAAGGGCTCGTGCCTTCCCCTCTGGGTGTGCTCGGCTCCAGTGTAGACCTGGGCGTTGCAATAAAGCCAAATGTTCTTGTGCTTCCCTCGAGACGGAGCTGCCAAGACTCGTCTTTGGCTGGAGGGATCTCCTTCCTGGAACAATAGGCAAAATGGACCAAAATTGAGTAGAAGTGATCTTGGTGTGGTGAACCTGAGTGAAACCCTGTGTGTGGCTGCTGTGGTGCTCACGTGCCCTCTCCCCTTTCAACCCGCCCATGAAGAGATGTAGGAAGAGAGACCTTGCCGAGTGCACGCTTCTCCAGGAACAAACTCCCTTCCCTGAGCTCATTAAGGAACTGGGATGGTACTGGAGAAGCAGCACGGGAGCTCCTTTGCCATGCTGCCCTTCCCACCAGCTGCCTGTTGGATCTCACTGTCTTGCCAAACCCCTCTTTCTGTTTGTGTTGTCTGGTATCCTCTTGCCCCTCATCAGCCAGATCCCGGGCAGGTTAGGAATGGTTCTGTGCTCCCCAACTGCTCTGCTTGGTGGCTGCTTTGCATGAGCCTCCCACCCCAGCAAGCACCAAGTGGGACAGCCCAGTCTGTCTCTCAGCTTTTGGGGTCTGCTTGAGCCAGTTGAGTCCTACACAAACCCTTTGCTGGCTCCGGATTTGGAAGCTCTGGCTGTCGGGTGCCCTCCGTTGTCCTCTGCCCGGTCTGGCGCGGCGTTACTGACACCTCTCTCTCCGTTCTCTCTGTCTCTCTGCAGCCTTTACTAGGGAAGGCATGCCTGTAAGTACCTTCTTGCGTCTTATTTCCCCCTTCCACCCCTTCTCCATGTCTCTTGCCATCCCACTGGTTGTTTTGTCAGGAAATCTTGCTGGGGCGTGGATTTCTTGGAGTTAATATTTCTGGTTTGGGGGATTTGTCTTAGGAAAGGTGAAGAGGAGACTATGGATGCTTCTTTGTCCAACCCCTGAATATCCTAGCTTGATTAAATGTGCCAGTTCTGTTGTGAAATGAAGCAAGTTATCACTTGCATTTTGTTGATGATGCCTGCATTTCCTGGACAATCATGGGATGGGAGATGCTGTTGGGTTTTTTTGTCATCATTTGTGATGGCACATTGTGCTGTAGGTGATAGGCCTGGGTGGTCTGTCCTTCCCAAGGGCTCAGAGTTGTGTCTATGAATGATGATGGCACCAGAGGGGTGTGTCTTCTGGAGCTGGAGTGATCCTGGGACTAGGCATCTGCAGTTCTGCAAACCTGGATTTTGGGAACAGTCAGCCCAGATGTCATGGGGCAGAGTAGATGCAAATTGTCCTTCTTTATTAAGAAAGCTAAAAACCTTGAGCATTTAATGCATTAATTATGAGTAATCAAGACTTTGACAATTTGGCTTAGTGCTGTTAGATCCTTGAGTAATAGTGTCAGAACAGTTTCTGGGTAAATTTGAAACCTTTGGACTCAATTTGTGCTACATCACTGACTTGAGACTGAGAAGACTTTGGGGCTGAGTTGGGACTGGGGTAGTGCCCAGTGGTCTTCTAGAGTAAAAGTTTTCTCAAAAAGGGAAGTTAGAAACTCATTTCGCTTTGCTGGTGGTTGGGTTGGGGAAGATCATTGTGCTCCTAGGGCCAGTGTAGAGGTTGAATTGCTCAGCATGGTTTGCATGCCTATGCTTCTTTCCTTCCTGCTCATGGGCACAAAAGTCCCTGATGAAATTTCGGGTCTTCTTGGGTTGCTTTGAATGCGTTCTTGATTTTTTTTTTGGTCCATCCCTCCATCCACCTTTTCCCTCATCCGTACTGCAATAAAAAGCACTGCATGCCTCAGTGCTGGCTGGGACACTGAAAACACTCCTTGGTGTTGAGTTTGGGGGATGGCTGTGTCAGATTTAGCTGGACCAAAAGCTCTGCTGGAGCAGACAGTGATGGTTGCCCATCCCAGGTGTAGGCTGGCAGCAGCAAGTTTAAAATCTCCAGCTGCTGGGAGCTGCCTTCACCTGCTAGTGTGGGACTTCAAGGAAAGGCTGCTTTTGTGGGACCTGTGAAGACTCCCCAGACTAAAGGCTTGGTGACATTCACGCTGCTGTTAACTCTCAGAGGCTGTGTGTGTCTTACATTTGGTCACATCACCACCTGTATGGGGTCAGGGAAGGTGGAAGGTACCTCATTCCCAGTTTGCACCAGGGAACTGGGTTGGCAGTGGGTGTTTTGTTGCATCAACCTTTGCTGTTGGGGTCTTGATTCCCATCCAGGAGGATGAGGGGACACCTGGAGAGGCAGGTGATGTGCCTGTGGGGTTGAGCTGGTTTGGGGTTGTGGGACTACCTGCTGTGATGATTTCTTTTCCTTTTGCTTGGTTTGTGATCCAAAGTACACTTTTTAACAACCACCTGATCCCCCTCCCTTCTTCTCCCCTTCACTTTTCGTGCTTGAAGAAGACCCGTTTGTCACTTTCTCAAAGTTTTCTCTTTACTAATATTTCCAAGGTAAATGGCTCTGGTGCATGTGGCTCTTCCTGACCCTCCTTCTGTCTCCTTAGATAACAGAGAGAGCAGCTCTGCCTCGTAGCATGACTGGGATTCCTGGTGCTTGTAAGAGGCAGCTTAGGTAGAAAAAGCAAATCAAATTGAAAAAAACGCCTCCAAAAAATTGAAGCCTTCCTAGCTGTTTCCTAGTCCTTTGCTCCCCTACCCTGTTTTGTGTAGTTTTGTGAGTTGACAAGTGTCCTTGTGGTCATCTCCCCTGGGTTTCTCCTTGAGCAGATGCTTTCCTTGGGCCTGGTCCTGCTTGTGTTCAGCTGATTGTCTCTGGTTTTGTGGTTCCCACCACACACTGGCGGGTTCCTGTTGTCACCCTGTATCAGGGCTGTGTCTGGAGCGTCTCTAGGGCCCATGAAACCTCATGGGGTTGTCACTGGGGGAGTGTGTGCTCCTGCCATACCACTGGTGATGGCTGGTCCCCATGCTGGGGACCTTCTTGGCATGGCTGGTGGGAGTTGCCTCTTCTTGTCAGTGCTGAGGATGGACAAACACTGACCTTGCCTTTGGCAGCCAGAGGGGACACTGCCCACCCTCAAGGGGAGCAAGAGAGATGTTTAATTGGGCTCCTTGACTGAACACCGTTGTCCTCTGTCACCCTGTGACCACGGGCAGCTTCAGGAGCGTGAACCAGGTGGGGTGGGAGGGTTGCCTTGGATTTAGCTCAGTTTTTAGGGATATCTCTGCCAAATTCCTGCCCTGTAGTTAAAACCAGGCAGTGCTTGAGGGGACAGGTGTGGGTGGCCAGTCAGCATATCCTCCCCCCACAGAATCACAGGATGTTGTGTTGGAAGGGGACCCACAAGGATTGTCGAGTCCCACTCTTAAGCCAGTGCCCCACACAGGGATTGAAATCATGCCCTTGGTGTTCCAAACAGCTGAGCTGATCTCGAGGGTCACCCCTCTCCCTGGGTGGACAGTGTCCTCTCCTCTGTGGCGGATGCTTCCGTAGTGACCCGTGCGTGGCTTTGTTACCCCCACCCCGTCCCCGCGTTGATGTGTGCGTAGAAAACGCTGCGGGTCTGACCCAAGCGCAACCCCCTCAACCCCTTCTCCTTCCCCTCTCGTTCCAGAACATGAACAACTCGCAGAAGCCGTCGTGACTCCGTTGGCACTGTCGCGAGGCCGCCGGCGACGCCAGCTTCCCATCCCACCGCCATTCCCGAAGCTTGCTTATCCACCGGTCTCCTCCGTCTGCGGCGAGGGCGACCCTCGGCTGTTCCTGCTCACGCCCGTTCATCCGCAAACCGCTCTGCTGCCGGGGGGAGGGATGCAGGAGAGCGGAGGAGAGGAGCTGAGCTCCCCCGGAGGGGGTCACCACCAGCTCTTCAGGCTGCAGCGTTTGCTCTCCTCTCCAGCGTCCTGTAGGGTCCTAGCGAAGCTGTAAAGTGCTTTCTAGCGTACAGGAGTTTTAATTTTTCCTCTCTAAGTGGTTTTGGTCTTCTGTATAGATGATTGGTAACCCACCTGTCTGCGGGTGGGGCGTGTATATATGTGGATGGTGCGGGGTTAGTGGAGAAATAGGGGGAAGGGAGGGTGGGCAAAGGGTTTTTGCATTATTTTTTTTAATTATTATTATTAATGATTCTAGATAAGCCCCTCCCAAGCTGTGCTGCAGTCCTTCACCCACACTACAGCCTGTTGCACACGCCAGCCCGGCTCACCTGGGTCTGCGAGCACCAGGAAGGCAGCTGTGTGAACTCCTTCACTGCTGGGTTTAACTAACAAACCCCATTCTTTCATTTTTTTTTTTTTAATCAATAACACCTTAAAGGGGTTTGCAGAGAATGTAGATCTGCTGCCAAAACTGGCTGCAAACTGCCTGTGGTGTAGGAGGAACTGCATCGCTGGTGGCTTAGGTGATACTTTCATCTCGGGGAGCACCCAGAGGTGGTCTGAGTTCAGGTGTGGGTTGATATTTAGGGGGAGACTGTGCACTCTTTTGAGGTGCTGTGCTGGTACTTCATCTCCCCTTTCCTCTTTCTTGGAGGAAAGCGGAGGTTTTGGGAGGGCTTTGAATCCCTAGGCTGAGCTTAGATGCATTTTGTAGACACACAGGTCTCATGGAGGTGGCCAGAGGTCTGGCCAGGTTGCAGGAGTCCCTGTCTGGCTGCAAAAAGCCACAAGAAGGGACAGTTTTGTCTGTATTATCTCTTTTTAATTTTATATATACATGCACATACATGTGTGTGTGTGTATGTGTATGCATAGAAACCGCTTGGTTTTTGCACTTTATTTGTGGCAGGAGCATAACTATTGTATTTTTTTTTTTTTTCAAGTCGTGCCCCTTAACAGGGGAAGCCTGAATACAGGCAACTGTTTCTTTGTTTTTAATTGTATTTTGCATGCTGGAAAGCTGGGACTACAAAATAATAGTAGTTACAGTGTTCAAGGTGTGTGTGGTGGTGGGGGGAATGGGGTGAGGTCCTGACTTTGACTCCATCAGCCAAACTCCCAGTGGTTTGATACAGGATATTCCTTGTTGGCAGCCTGCCCTAGGCTGGGAGACAGCAGTTAAAAATGGCAATTAACCACTATTGCTTTGTGCAAAAGTCTGTGGATTTTGAGATTATCTTCTTTTTTAGGGTTTTGAGTTGGGCTTTGGTTTGTTCCCCACCTCTGCGCAGCATCTTCTCCATCCCCATCTCGTAGTTTTTTTGGCTGGAGGCAGGAGGTGAAGGCAAGCTGCCCCTCCTTAGAAACCGCTTGGTTTTTGCACTTTATTTGTGGCAGGAGCATAACTATTGTATTTTTTTTTTTTTTCAAGTCGTGCCCCTTAACAGGGGAAGCCTGAATACAGGCAACTGTTTCTTTGTTTTTAATTGTATTTTGCATGCTGGAAAGCTGGGACTACAAAATAATAGTAGTTACAGTGTTCAAGGTGTGTGTGGTGGTGGGGGGGAATGGGGTGAGGTCCTGACTTTGACTCCATCAGCCAAACTCCCAGTGGTTTGATACAGGATATTCCTTGTTGGCAGCCTGCCCTAGGCTGGGAGACAGCAGTTAAAAATGGCAATTAACCACTATTGCTTTGTGCAAAAGTCTGTGGATTTTGAGATTATCTTCTTTTTTAGGGTTTTGAGTTGGGCTTTGGTTTGTTCCCCACCTCTGCGCAGCATCTTCTCCATCCCCATCTCGTAGTTTTTTTGGCTGGAGGCAGGAGGTGAAGGCAAGCTGCCCCTCCTGCAGTGCTGGGCAGAGAGGTTTGGGGAGAAGTTATGATTTATTTTTTGTGTGTGTGTATGTTTTGTTTTTGGGGGGGGGGGGTTGGTCTGTTTTTCCTTTGGGAAAAGGCGAACCACAGTGCCTAACGCTTCAGCCTCGCGCTCGGAGCTGCACCGACGGCGGGAGGGGGCCGGGACCACGCTCAGCCCGTGTCCCACAGTGCCCTGCCTGTGTGAGCTTGTGCATATGTGTATTATATTCCTGTACAGATGAAACCAAGAACACTTTTCCCCCCTACTTCATTAATTTCTTAATAGCCTCATTAAAAGCAGCCTCTTTCTCACTGTGTGCACGGGTGGCGTCTGCCCTTTCGGTTTCTCTGCCTTTGAGATAAACGAATGTTTTGGGGAGGTGACTCCACTTGGCTTTTCCAACCTCCTTCCTGGGGAGTTTTATCTCCCTCCTCCTGCTGCAAAAAGATAAGCCAGCAAATACAAACATGACGTCTGGCTGCCCCGAGATCAACCCTGTACACATGTAATTCTGCGGATGTTTTGGTGTGTATTTGTGTGTGTATATATATATATAAATTTTTATATATATATATATATAAAAAAAAAAAAAGAAAAAAATGGCCCTAAACTTTCTTCCTTTGGGAATAATAGATGTCTCAGTAGGTCCATGAAAAAATGAAATTTGAACATGGCATTTTCTCCAGCAATGGGAAAACTGGTCTCTCAGGTCCTCTCGTGCTGGAGGGGTTGGTGGGATGGTGCCATCACACTGCCCCAAAAACTCACTGCCCATTGCTTTTGGTTAACAGCCAAGGCAGGGTGGGAGAGAGGACTTGTCAAACCACACCAGTGATTTCTTCCCCCTTCTTTTTCCCCTGGTTTTGTTTTCCTTTGTGATACTTGAATTTATTTTTTTAATTTTTTTTGATAGCAAAGCGCTCTTTATTTATTTAATGTACACTGCAAAGCTTGGAGAGAAGGGTGTAGTTACTTGGGGTTACTTTTTTTCATTTGTGGTATGTTAACTGTTCTGTATATAGGTCTGGAATAATTGCCTGATATAAAGCTGTGCCAGCTTAAAAACAGGGTCTGCCTTTCAGAAATTTGTATATTTTGCAGTTGCTGGACCAATAAAATACCTTGTTGAAATACAGATGTGACCTGGTTTTTCCTTGTGTTAGGAATTGTGCTCTCGGGCTCCAAGGGTCACCACGTGCCACAGCTGTGCTGCCTCACACGTATGTTCCTGTGCCTTGTGAATAAAAATTCTCATAAAAGAGAAATAGTAGTGGATCCTCCATCTCTGGAAGTGTTCAAGGCTGAGTTGGATGGGGCTTGGAGCAACCTGGTCTAGTGGAAGGTCTCTAGCCCATGGCTCTACCTGCTACATCACCCTTGAATACAGAGGTGATGTCTTGGAACCTGTCCTGCCTAGATCTTTATCTAGCCTGCAAATTAGGCATGAGAGGCATTTATTCAAACCTAGTCTAGTTCTTGAAATCAAATACCTGCTTAAAGTGATTAGGTGCTAAATAAAGGGCTAGGCAAGGGCTGGCCCCTGAGATCACAGCTGTCTCTGCCCTGGAGGCAGGGAAACTGCAAATGCCATCTGCAAGCAAAGATGCAAAGTTCCCTGCAAAGTTTTGTTTTGGGTTGGTTTTCTTTATTTCTGGTCCCAGAGAAAGAGGGGGAGAAGGCAGGGAACGGTGTTTCAAATCATTTGACAGTGTCAAATTGATGATGTCAAATCATTTGACATGATTTTCCAGAGCACATCTTGGGTGGATGCTTCCCATGTGATTGGAGGCTTGTCCTCCACCAGCAGTTGTAACTCTAAAAGCTTATTAGGAGCAAGAGGGGCAAAAAGGTGGAGACCACTGTGTATCCCAACTCAGCTCTGTGGTTACCTTCTGCTGGCTCCAGTGCAGTCCTTGCTCTGATCTCCCCTGGGGTGTCAGAGCCTGTCAAGCCTTGCTTTGGGCTGGGGCTTGCTGGGATGCACAAAGATCTGTCTTCTCTCTTCTCCTAATTCCTCCGTGCTTCAGGGCCTCTCACCAGGGAGGAAATTCGCATTTTAAGCTTGACTGAGGCACCTGCAATAATATTTTCTAGGTGAACATGCAGACACGTGAGACTGGGGTGATGCTCATCCCTGCAACCATCCTGAGGGCAGGGAGGACCTGTTCTTTCTGGGAAATCCAGAAACCACAACGTTTTAAATTTTTTTAATTTTTTTTTTTCCCAATCTCCAGCAGCCCAACCACCTCCTTGACCCAACCAGAGACGAAACACTTGTCTTATTTAAGGGCAAAGAGCGTAGCCTTGCACCCACCTCACAGGGAGCCCTACACGAGTGTGGGGGCCCTGATAAGGCCTCCAGCCGAGGTGAGCCGAGGTTACACGTAGCCACAACATCACTTCAGCTCTCCTGCCTTCCTTGGGGCAGGCAGGGGCTGTTTTGAAGCCATAACAACCTTGTCCTTGTGGGGGGAGCACAGGGGAAGGTTTTGCCTCCCAGAGTGTGTGTGGCAGTGGGCAGCACTTCCAAGGCTGCTCCGCAAGAAAATATCGCCTCCAAAAAGTCTATTCTCCTCTTTCCATGTGCATGATGGGGCTTGTATCAAGGCATTCATGAAAGAGAGCCAAGTAAGGAAGGGGAGTCACTGTCAAAGCCATCTTAGGCAGCATCCTTTATTTTTCATCCATGTGATGCACTTTGTAGCATCTCAGAGAGGAGAAGTTCCTCGAGGCAGAGCAGCTTTAAAGGTTATACTTGACAGCAGGAACATTTCCCTGCTCCCAGTCAAGTCCCATTTTTATCAAAATTAAAAAAAATAATAAACCCCCAGCTCACTGCTGGCAAACAGGGAGAGAGAACTTGTGATTGCTAAAAAAAAAAAAAAAAAAAAAAAAGAAAAAGGACAGCCCAGTCACGCTGGCTGACTCAGCTCTGATTGATGGCTCAGGAATGTGTCTGGGATTAAATAAATCACGGGCAAACCTTTACAATGCAACATGTTGGATGAAACACAGCCGGCACCAGGCTCACCTGCCTCGGGCTGGGGAGTGACAGCCCTCACATCATGGGTTTGGAGGGGATTTTCTTCTTTTTTATCCATCTGTGAGGAAAAAAAAGATATTGTCAGAAATTGCTCTGCAAGGGGATCTAATGGGAATTATTTGCACCAGCTCTGGGTGTCCAGATGCATTTGTGCACTTTTGCTACAACAAGCACATCCTGGGAAGGGATATCTTTGTGATGAAATACAGAAAATTTATTTTTCAGCTCTGCACAGACCTGTGTATATCACAGTCTTGCTGCTCCATTCGAAACTTTTATACTAAGAGTCAGGGTCCCTTCCCCACCTCAAGGGTGGGCTCAGGGCCCAGTCTTCATCCATGGCCAGGGACAACTGCCTGGATGTGAATATTTGACCCTCGCATTTCTCTTGCTCTCTGAGGCTGAGGGGTGTAATGGGGCAGCACCAGGCTTGTCTCCCTGAGTGCCCCTTCCCCAGGTGTGTAACAGCCTATTCCCACTCCCTAGGTGGGAAAGAGCCCATTTCCATGCGTGGTCAGGCTGGGTGTGGGTCTGGTGATTTCATGCCCCAAATAAAACCCTCCTGGTGTGGCTGCCTGAGCCTTTCTTCTCCTACCTCACCCCTGCCCATTGAGGGATCCCCTGTCCCTGGCCTTGCTCATTTCAACAACAGCCATCCAGTCTGCAGCTGGATCTGTTCAGATGCTCCTAAGCCCCGTGGGTTGGTCCTGCTGGAGAAAACTCCACCTGCAGCCTTTCTGTGACTCACACTGACCACTTCAGAGCATCCTCTCCTTGGAGCTGCTGCTTGGTTACAGCTGGACAATGACATATCCCATGGTGGCAGCTCCTTGCAACCTCCTGGATAAATGCACAGAGGTTGTGTTTTTTTTCATACAGCAGATCTCAAGGAATCAGATTGTGTAATTTCCCCAGCCACGTACTTTTCCTTTCCCATTTCTTCCCTCTTGGGTTTTGGCCTGTTTGCCTTGGATGATCTGGACACTGCTTGCAGAGCTGTTGTTCTCCACAGCCGTGGCAGGACTCAAAGAAGGCCTTGAAGGTTTGGTCACTTGGCTCTGCTGGGAGTGCTGGTTAGAAAAAGTGAGTTGCAACTGAACCTATGTGTCAGCAACGCTGGAAAATATTATATCATGTGGATGGAGGAAGAGTGGTAAGAGTGAATACCAAAATAGCATAGCCCTAAAATACCTGATCTAGTTGAAGACGTTCCTGGTCATTGCAGGGAAGTTGGATTAGATGACCTTTAAATGTCCCTTCCAACCCAAACTGTTCTACAATTCTGTTTTATTGTTCAATTCTATGAAATTTATTTACAGTTTCTGCATTCACAAAATAGGCCTAATGTCTCATGTTCTACCTGGAAGTGCCCTGCTGCATCCTGTTGATCCCGTGTCCTGCTTCGTGATCCAACCCTGGGACCTGTACCTGGCCTGGGAAGGCCATGGGTGGACCCAGTCCTTGCTGCTGCTGGGTCCAGGCTGGGCTCTGTGCCCTGGGAAACCTTCATTGTAAGGGTTGCTCTGTGCTTTCCACATCATCTGATGCTCCATCCAACACGTGTCAACATGAGGCAGAGTAACAGAGTATGAAGAAATCACAGAATCAGAGAATGAAAGAACCCTAAATATCACCCCTTGCCATGGGAAGGGACACTTTCCATTAGAAAGACACTTCCATTAGAGCCCCATCCAACCCGATTCTGTACATTTCCAGGGATGGGTCAACACTTGCAGGGCTGGTTCTGAGTGTTGCCAGGGCCTCAATCTCCTGGTAGTCTCTTCCATCATGAGCCACCGCTACCCCTTGAGGACCCAGAAACCCAAGCCAGCTGATGATGGGCTAAATCCCTCGAGAAGTCTTCTAAAATGTTACCTCCCACAATCCTAAGGAAAATATTATTTACAACCTGATAAAACCATGACAAGGTTACTGAGTTTGCTGAGCTTCCTGACCAGTCAGATAAAGCCCAACTGATGCGTCTGCCCACCCAATTTTCTGCACAGTGAGAAGTTCATTTCTTGCTGATGTGACACTCAGAGCTACCACAATCTGAAGGGACAGTGACAAGACAATGTTCAGTATCCCACAGGTTTTGTGAATTGCTTCTCCCTCTAGCACAAGGTGCAGACTTTGATATTTCACCCACTCCTAGACAGACACACAGCAAACATTTGGTCTTCTTTACTGCTACAAGAGGCATCTGAGTGCTTTTTGTACTGAAATTGATGTTGGTGGCTCGGTGCAGAAGTTAGAAAAGTGGGTGGCAGCAGAGGTTGGGACTGAAAACACCGTTGAATTAGAGCTACAAAGAGAAGCAATAATTAAGACCTAACAAAAAATTACCATGGTGGAGGGCAGCTCAAGAATGAGCACAGCCCCAAATCCAGATATTTCTAGCTGCAACCCAAACCCCACAATTAAGCTGCGATTTTGGTCATTATGAGGAGGTATTTCCAGAGCTGGGTCCTGCTGTTCGCTGCCTTTATCCACCAAAATGACTGGCTGAGCATCAGCAGAAAGAAAACCCAGCATTTTGATAAATGTCATCCAAACCAGACTGGAGAGCCTGTGTTAAATGCCTCCACCAAAGCTGGATGCCAACCTGTGGGCAGAGCTGGAGCTGAAGAGAGGAGAAGGCTTTCTGGCTAGGAGGGGATGTGTTGTTTTAGAAGTTGGTGGTACCTAAAAATACTGCTATCCTCCCTTGGGAGTTCCACCATATGACAGCACAGAGAAGCAAATGCCACCATGCATTTCTCTGGTTCTTGGTCCATCTCTACCCACTCATTACTCCAGGCCACTGATCCATCAGTAAAAAAGGGGGGGATGGAGGCTGTAGCTCTCACACAGGTACCTGGTGTCTCCACAGGCAAGTCACACCACTGATCCAGATTTCAGGATGATGGCACAAGTGTTAATGGCTGATTTCCTTCCTGATTCTCCCACTGGTGGTGCTGCAAGGACTGTGACTTACCCTGGCTGTTCCACAGCTGCTCTTTTACCTTCCAGACAGTATTAATGTCACCCACTACCAACCAGGTGCCCTGACTCACTCACTCTTCCTTCTGCCAGCCTTGATTCACCTGTGA